CGACTGGCGTCTCACCTTTAGAGTGAAAAATAGGCGTTTTTCGGGTAAAATAATTAATTAAAATAATTTGTAAGAGTTTTAATTATCAGAACTCTTTGGAAACTCATTGTACATGACAAATACTATACGAGAACTGTTTTAGAAAAAACAGAACTCTCGAAAATCGACTGGCGTCTCACCTTTAAGTCGAAAATAGGCGTTTTTCGGGTAAAATAATTAATTAAAATAATTTGTAAGAGTTTTAATTATCAGAACTCTTTGGAAACTCATTGTACATGTCTAATACTATACGAGAACTGTTTTAGAAAAAACAGAACTCTCGAAAATCGACTGGCGTCTCACCTTTAGTGTCGAAAATAGGCGTTTTTCGGGTAAAATAATTAATTAAAATAATTTGTAAGAGTTTCAATTATCAGAACTCTTTGGAAACTCATTGTACATGACAAATACTATACGAGAACTACTTTATAATAATCAGAACTGTCGAAAATCAACTGGCGTCTCACCTTTACAGTCGAAATTAGACGTTTTTCGGGTAAAATAATTAATTAAAATAATTTGTAAGTGTTTTAATTATCAGAACTCTTTGGAAACTCAATATACATGTCTAATACTATACGAGAACTGTTTTAGAAAAAACAGAACTCTCGAAAATCGACTGGCGTCTCACCTTTAGTGTCGAAAATAGACGTTTTTCGGGTGAAATAATTAATTAAAATAATTTGTTAGAGTTTTAATTATCAGAACTCTTTGGAAATTCATCGTACATACCCAGAACTATACGAGAACTACTTTATAATAAGCAGAACTGTTAAAAATTGACTGGCGTCTCCCTTCGACATCTATAGATACAGATATCCGATCATCTTAATTTTGGTTTAATTAATATTTTCTGCTTTTAGAAGGTAGAACTCTTCTTAGAACTCATGTAGAACTATAGATCTTTTCATTTCTGATCATTTCTGATACGGAAAATGTCGTAGGACAAAGTGAGACGCTGCGTGAAGTTGGCGTCTCACTTTGCACTAAGCAATTTTTTGGCTTTAACGAGCAGAACTATGTGTTTTACCTATCAGGAACTCTAGAACTATTAAAAAGGAAGTCAGAACTCTCAAAATATAATGAGTTTCCGCAAAATGATACGCCAACTTCACACACACTAAATTTTAAGAGAAAATTCTCTATTGTAGATGGCCTTATGATTATAATAGCAACTCCGAAATTTTACAAAAAAAAATGATAAAAAATTGTAATATTACATTAAATTTAATATTAATTTTAATATTAAATTTGTATCTTAACGAGCTTTAATGAATTGATAACTTATCTAAGCACTTGTGCGTACTTGGTGAAATTATAACTTATTTATGCACTTTTTTTAAATGAATGTGTTTAGTCGCATCCAATCGTAGCTTTTTTCCATTTATAATATGTGCAAATATACAAGAGAATACATAAAAGAATAATTACATAAAAGAATTACCTTTGCAAATTTTCAATTTACTGCTGCATTGAAACGAAAATTTCGACTTCAACTGTCCTTGATTCATCACGTTTGTCGCATTTTGTTTGGCTAATGCGTTTACGTATTTTTGCCACTTTTTATTTGCTGTGTTTTTTGTGTTTTAAATTGTATGTGAATTTACGCGAAAATCCGTGGTAATCGATGATTAAACGATGTTCGGAGCGTTAAAGCGTCAGGAAACACGCGTTTTAGTGTCACATTTGGTTTGTGATGAGATAGCGGGTATAGTAGTCGACCTATCGAACACTGTCATCAACACTGCCGGGCTAATGGCTCATTATGCTGCCGTTTATACGTTTGCATTGCTAGTATAAGGACGATGAGATTATACGATACACGCGGTTCATCGGAGAGTATTTCTTCGGCGACTTAGCTTCGATCGAGCGAATCGGCTAGCTGAATAAGGTGTGAAATAGCAGCATAGGAAAGTAGATAATTGAAAGAGAAAAACTGTATCAATATTTGAAAATCCCGAGATAGTAGCATAATTATCTATATGAAAGATTCTCCGACAAAAAATTTTTGTGAGATACAAAATTTTAGAACAAAAACGGAAAAGGAAAATAAAAATCTCTGAAACATTTTAAAGAATTTAAAAAATATCGATAAAATAAAGAACATAATTAATTTTAAATTCGAGATTTTCTTATTCCGTGATCTCGTAAAAAATATACATACTTACGTAATTGGTTTAATTTTCCAATCATGAAGATAGGAATAAAGAGAGTAAATACATGATATAGTGCTGGGAAAGTAAATAATGTGATGAATCTTGTCCTACGTTATATTACAAAGTAGGTAAAAGGAAGGAAGATGTGAAAAATGACCTTGATATTTACATCGTGTCGCACGATTGCAACCCACAATTTATGTCACCATGAATTTCCTTTCGACGGTGCTTAATCAGAGCTGGTCTACGGCGTCGCCCTTGTCATTTCACGCGCCGTATTATTACTATAATTGATTTCCAAAGCAAAGTGCGCGAGTTTTTTTTTTCTTTCTTTTTGCGTATAGGGGTTCGAGGAGCGATTTGCGATTCAAGCGACTTTAGACGATATTATATTGGCCGCCAACAAATAATGATAATTACGCTAATAACATCGCGATTACGACAGCGAGACGTATTGTCCTTAATAATTTTCGATACGCGCCCGATGATACATCGTGGTCGACGATTGAGTCATTTAGATTCTGTAATCTAGATAAAACTCAAGAAGAGTGGTCGAGAGAGAAAGAGAGAGAGAGAGAGAGAGATTAGGATTACATTCTATTACGGGCGATCTGGAGATCTGGATACGATGCAAATGTCCCGGCCGGTGTCGCGCCGGGTCGATTAATTATTTATAATCGCGCGAGCGACGTTGAAAAAGCGAAGGAATTTCGTTACCCCGAAGGTATCTATTTATCCGCGTTGCGTATTTTGCGGGACGATTTATTATCTATCCGACGGGTATTTATAGCTGCGGCTAAATTAATCTTCGCGCGCTTATATGTTACAACCTGCGCCGCTCGCGAATATCTTGTTGTATGTGCATAGAATTACGCGCTAGAATTTTCGTTCTAGGATTTGCCTTTTCTTGTAAAATGAATGCTGAAATTACCACGTGCCACGTGGAACGTCGGTCAAACGTCCCTTCAGGGCGAAAACGACATTCACATTATTTTAATAAATTTATATTAAAATTATATAAATAAAAAAATCAAACATTTTTTTTCAAAAGTTATGTTTTTAATTATGATTTAATTTTAATACAAATTTATGAAAATAATGTATACATATTTATTAATTTATGTATACAACGTGAATTTTAGATCAGCAATTAATATATTTATATGGGGAGAAGTATTATCATTTTCTATTAAATCAGATTGCAATGCGTAATTCGTCATTTTAATTGAAAACCACTCCCCGAAGGGATTAATCGCGTGTCACGATTATCTCCCAATCGAGGCGACAAAATTGGCTCCGCCATCGCGAGAGAAAGAGAGAGAGAGAAGTGAGCTCGATGCAGGAGATAGCGCGATTGAGATTGAGCGCGAGTGGGAATGAAAGGCGGCGAGAAGAAGAAGAGCTGGAAACTTAATGCTCGTGATACCACATTGCCGTCGCTGTATCGAGGCGAGGAATGATTATGGTGGCCAGCCCACGCAATCCGCGGGTCATGGACCATGATCTATGGTACACGACGGAATGCCCCGTTATGCGTTAAAGTGCAAACTTGTTAGTCATAGTGCCAACCCGTCGATGTCGAGGGGACAACCCGGGCTGCCAAGGGGGCTTCTTCTTAAATGCCGGTGTCCTACAAATCCGCACAAGATCCGTATAGAGCCTTTGCATAGAGTAGAGTTCGTCATATTGTCGGCTTAAGTCGGATTTAGTTTCAGGATTTTTTATCTTTTATGTTTAACTACACTGAAAAAAAAATTTGTTAACTGGACTTATATATATAAATATTATTTTGTTATTTGAACATATAAAAATATTTAAATTAAATGTAACATATTAATCTAATAAAACGTATATTTAACTTAAATACTAATATATATGTTTAATTAACAAAATAATAATTTATTTGACAGGTTTAGTCAAGTTAACAAATTTTTTTTTCAGTGTACATATACAGTCTTATTTATGATGTGTATAGTTGCATAAAACAAAGTTTAACTAAATTTAGCCTTAAGCAACATTATTGCAACCGGTCCGTATGTGAATTATATTATTTATAAAAAAAATTAGTTTAAAAATTATTTTATATAAATATGATAATTAGATATATCAATTTGTTATTAACCGCGTGATATTAATTGATCGAGAGGACTATTCTCTGTTGCATTCGATATTTTGCCTCTTCGGAGATACGATTCTTAGGATGATTCATTACGCAGAGAGAGACTACGGATGTCGAAGGGGTTAAGCGATTACTTATTGTTATGTATTCTTTGGTGTTTAATAGAGAGTTATATGTAACGGTACGTCGGCGTAAAAGGTCGATTAGAATGACTAGGCGCTCTCTTTCTCTCTTTCTTTCTCTGTCTTATTTTCTGACGAAGTAGCACATTCTCAGGTACCATCGAGATTCATTGAGTCAATTAAAAGGCACATCAACTGAATCGTGAAATGCAATGGTTCACAAAATTGAAACCGTGTATCATATTCAGAAAATTAAAAAAATCATGTGTATAATTCATTCTCATTTTTTAAGTAAAAACTTAGCGATACGTATCGGTTGATTTTGTTCATCTCGTCTTTAGAAATAAAAAAAATAAACTTTATGAGATTTTTTAAATAATTAATTAAGAAAAATAAACACACACATGCGAATATAAGAACATAAGATTACTATTGTAGTATTTGAATTGAGAGAACCAACATTTAGTCTAATTATAATTCTGAAATATAAGAAAGATGTTGAGAGAGATTTTGTATATATTATTTTATTATGCTAATAAGATTTCAACAATGCACATGAAACTACTTTGATGTAATGACATTATTGGAAAGAACGTAACACAGTGAAATAAGACATCGATGTTTTGAGAACCTTTAAAAATAACAAGTTTATATATGTAAAATATACGCATGTATATATATATATATATATATATATATATATATATATATATATATATTACGTAAGTTCTAAGGAATTTTTAAATAATTATTCTACTATCATATAAGAGTAATAAAAATAGATAAAGTATGCTGTGCTTTTTTAACACTATATACTTTTTAACTTTTTTAATATTGTAGACGAAACTTATAATTAATTAGTTTTTAATTATTTAATTATACAGTGTTACTTACCGCACCAAAGTTTTCAATTGATAAAGTCACGATTTTACCAGCAGTTAAGATGCAAGGTGACATAGTTCTGCTCATGATTAAAAGAAATATCTTTCGACATCTTTTCGAAGTATAATACCACTTTCCTTTGCAACTATAACACAAAGTGAGATTGTTCATCAATTTAAATAAAAAGAGTGAAGAAATTTTTACATTCTTACATAGATTCGTAGGGAACACTACTATAGTCCAACAAAAATTGAGCTTGCCAAAATTGTAAAAAAAGGTGAGTGAGTTGCGCAATGTAAATTGCCATAGGTGCTGCAATGTCTCTCGCATTGCTTAAATTCATCACTACCTGGAATAGAAATTTTATTAGGGAATTATATCTAATTGCCCCCTTTTGCAGTTTTCTGATTAATTTTTATTTTTACAAATATGTACGATACTTCGAAATTATACGTATTCGATATTAAAGAGGTAAATAGTATTTTTAGTCAATCTTCCAAATATTTATAACACTACGAAATGATTTTTGCTTGCAGAATATATAGCAAATAAATATATAGCAAAGTGTAATCAGAAAAAAAAATTTGTTACATACTCGTATACCGCTTATACTCCCACAAATCATATTTAAAGTAGTGCTGACCAAGAATATATTTGTAAACAAAGATTCGATCAGCTCCGCGAATCTGCAAAATCGCGAATCTAAATCGTGATTGTAGGCAACATATCAACAAAGCGGTTATTTTCTATAACATATAGAGATCTTTTCTAAAATATGGAGAAAATGTAGAATAGAAAAGATATTTTTTTCGATAACACGTACTCTATTACGTGGAGATGCTTACGCAAACAATCCAATGCTTTATGGTAATTGATGTCTTTTATCTTTTCTGGCTGCATGTGAAAATTTGCGTCACTATCTTTGCCGATATCCTCTAATATGTGTCTAGAAACGCACAAAAATATCAATGCAAAACATTACGCTTATATTTCAAGTTTTTCTGCAAATTCTCCTTGTAATCTTTTAATATTCTTACCCGACAATTGAGAACATTCCGCAGGCATGCTGGACTAAAATATAATATAAGGTGTCAACCGCGAGTGTACAATATACGTGAGAGAACACGCCTAGATAGCAATGAATTATTATTGGATAGAAATATTGGTCTAATTTTTCGCCATATTCGACTTGAAATGGCAATTTCGATGCTCCCGGTATAGATGACTTCGTTACATTCGCAGTATTGTCTTCTAATAATGTCACAACGACCGGTTTGAGCAAATAAAAGAATGCTGTCATATGCATGAGAACTAAAAAAATATGTGTTATACGAGCAGATTTAAAAAAATTTTTTTTTTACAATTTTTTTGAAGTATGAAAATGTTTACATATTAAGCAAAAATAATTTTTTTTTGATTTTTTAATGCAGAAAAAATGAAAAAAAATTAAAATACAATTCAAGGAAAAATTCGAAAAATTATAAAGAATATAAAAATGTACGCTTATATATACTCATTCTTACATATATAAAAATGCACAGTTTGCTATATATGTATATTTGTTTTTTAAATTACCTGTGTAAAATGTCGTCAAATGCCGTCCATATTCGCTATGACGTGCCAAAATAGCCCTTTCTACATCTGTATTTAATGATAGCCAATTCTCCTCTATTATCTTAAGGCAAGATGTTATCTATATATAATAAATATACGCGTATTTTTTTATTGCAATAATTTTTATTTTGTATACAAAATTACATTTTAAAATTTATAAATAATTTTTACACGTTTGCTGTTGAACATCATGCTTGCTATTTTAATGCTGAATGTTATACTAATCAATACGGCTGGTACACTTTCGAAAATGTCATCGACATCCGCGGAGGTTAATACGTAAAGCAACTATATCCAAAATTATAATATCAAAAACATGTCAAGATTTTGATTGATGAAAGAAAAAAAATTGTGCAATAAGTTGGTACAATAAATAATCTGAATATAGTGAATTGTTTTTTCATACAAAAGTGTAATTTTTCAAGATTAAATATATATACCTGGGGTATAAAAATACTAAAACAAAATATAAATATCGGCACAAAACGTATATATCTGTCACGAAGTCTATGATATGGCCATATTCCTGATATGGTCATGTATACTTTAGAAATAACGTAGTACCGACTATTCCAAATGTCTTTCTTCTTGTCGGACATTGTGTCAACTACTAGTATTACAGATTATCAACGATTCTTTGTGAACGTTTGTCATTCGGCGAATTATAGGAGCTGTATTATCGATTCCTTTTACGTAGCGAACACAATGTAATAATTCAACTAGGTAGTTTTCACAGTAGTTGAATTATTACATTGTCTTTGATACGTAAAAGGAATCTATAATCGAGCTCCTACAATTCACTTAATTATATGTTCAATTACACGTATAGTTGCATGCAAATTCTTCCTCTTTTGCATTTTCACATAAAGCCAGTTCTTTCATCATTTCTCTTTGTTAACTTTCCTTTATCATAATAGTAGGATATTATCTTCCGGACAATTCTTTGAACGCGAAATTGATGTACGCATATAACGCATTTGTTCATCTCATCTTAAAGGAAACGCAAGTATATTTGTTTGGAATAATTTGGGAGAATGTCTAGACCATTATCTATTATTGACTATTATATATATTATTTACAAAATTGATTGTTTTAATTTTTACACATAGAAAAATTACCATTTTTTTTCTTTAAATAGGAAATTCATAAGAGAGTCTCTCTTATTAAATATATAATTCTTCTTTTAAAAAGCTTTAATTATAGATATAGGAATATAAAATTATATATATGTATTACCATTTTTTTTTAAATAGGAAATTCATAAGAGAGTCTCTCTTATTAAATATATAATTCTTCTTTTAAAAAGCTTTAATTATAAATATAGGAATATAAAATTATATATATATGTATATTTTTCAAGAGAATTTTATTCCAATGGAGTTTCATTATAGTTTTGTGTAGGACAATCTGCTTTTTTCTGAAACCATAGTAAAAGCATAATTAAAATTGTAAAAGCTATTTCGTCAGTCTTTATTACATCGTTTTTAGTCACAAAGTGATTTTAATTCCGCACCGCAATCTTTCATTGAACGCAAAAGCATCCCGCGTGCTTTTCTCGCACGTGATAGCAGCGTCGTGTCATAATAAAAGTGCAGCGGGGCAGTTTTAATAAACCCACGTGAGGTGTATAATAATTGTGTTTTTTAGCATCTATCAAAAGATCGTAAAGTTAATCGGCCGTCGTAGCTACTTCGGAATTTTCACGAGCCTCATCTCGGGTCCGTCGTAGGATTATTATCGGTTTTATCTATGATCGATCGGTCGCAGATATGACTTTTAGTTGCCGCACATTATCCCGAACGAGGTCGTTCGATCCGCCGTGAAAGACCTGTAAAGAACGAGATAAAGAAATCGATGATCATGGAGTCACGAGCAGGCCCGATATCGTCATGTATCTCGGTTAAATGATATTAATAGGTAGACAGATTTACGATTATGCTCGAGTAATATGAAAATTGCCAATTACTCGCGTCCATTCACCTCTGTGTCAGTATCAGTCGTCGACGTGCTCTCTCTTTTTGGCTAAAAATAGATTTCTTGGAATAATAATATATTGATTCTTTCGTTAAATTTTTATCAGAGAGAATTTTCTCTTAGAATTTACTCTGAAAATCATAGTAATCGTGAGACAATATGATATTGAAAGAATTTTGTAATAGTTTCTCTGATTAAATATTTACCACACTAAAAATATTAATATCTATTATAGTAAGATATAAAAATTATATTAATATTTTTTATTGCTATATATATTGTTCCACAATTACCATGATTTTCAGAGTAAATTCTAAGAAAAAATTCTCTTCGTGTGATGTAATAGAAAATAGAATTTATATAAAATTTATTGCAATATTGAAACTTTTTATTTCAGTTTCAATCGGTCCAAAGATTTTTTTAAATTGTTTCTAAACAACTCTGTAAATGCCTACACATTTTAAAAATTTTTATAAAGACTCGGTAACGAGAATATTTAACAAACTTGTCGTTCAATATTAATAAAATAGAGAAATTATTTAGAGCAGTCTCGTGATAGTTGAATCTAATCCAACAAAGTAGTCTGAGTCAATGACTAAGTGAGCGTTCAGAGTAAAGAAAAATGAGATGATCCTATAATTCAACGCATTCTTAACTTGACACTCTTTAAAGGATTATCAATTATATCATTTAATCGTGTTTTCGGATTTTACGAACAAGGTCGTATTTTTTTCGCGCTGAAGGATTGGGCATTTCTTTAAACAATAAATTGCATTTCGCATTGTCACATTTTACTCTCGCTCGCGCTGCAGCACTGCGGCATCATCGGGCAAATAAATATTCACGGTTGCGACTATACTATGTGGTGGGATGGTAGCATTCCAGCTTGATTTCAATCGGCAACTAACGGTCTTTTTCGAGGATCGAACGAGCGTGTGAGTGCGGCTGATTCGCGCCGAAGGTGTCCGATTTCAGCAGTCGCGCTTATCGCTCGCGGCGTAGACGCGATGTGGGAATGGTGCCTCCTATTCTCGCGAGAAACCCCAGGTTGGCGATCGAGGACCGTCCTCGAGACGGACCATCCTCCGTCGCGCTCGATATTATTTCGCCTCTTCGGAGATACGATTCCTGGGGTGATTCATTACGCAGAGAGATCGCGGGATGTCGAAGGGGTTAAGCGATTACTTATTGTTAGGTATTGTTCGGCGTTTAATAGAGAGTTATACATAACGGTACGTCGGCATAAAAGGTCGATTAGAATGACTTGGCGCTCTCTTTCTCTCTTTCTTTCTCTGTCTTGTTCTCTGATGAAGTAACACATTCTCAGTTACTATTGAGAATTCATTGAGTTAGTTAAAAAGTACAACTGTGAAACGTAGATATTCGTAAAATTGATCGTGTAGATTATCAACAATTCTTTGTGGTTCGATGAAATTACTTGCTTAATTTTATGTACAATTGCATATGAACCTTTTTATCATTTTTTTTGTTAATTTTTTTTAATGATAATAATAGGATGTATTATGTTTCGAATAATTCTTTGAACGCGAAATTAATCTACACATTTGACACATCTCATCTTGAAGAAAATGCAAGTAGATTTTTTTAAACAATTCAGGAGAATAAAGAAATAAAATACGGACGCAAGAATAGTAAACACTAAATGATGATGTAATAGATATAATCTTTATGATTTATACTGGAAAAAAATATTGAATTTTTTTGAATGCAGGTATGACATGAATAATATGAATTGTGAATTTTTAATGTATAAACTTGATTTTATACCAGAAAATAATTTGAATTTTATTATGAACAGTTCAATTAAAATTACTGCTCTTTATTTTATTATGATGAGTCGAAAATATGAGAAATGGATTCTGAGAAATTTTCACATATATTTTAAGATATAGTTTATAATTTTTATATTATTTTATGGAAAGGATTTTAGAGATGAAAAGATAGTGTCACAAATATTCGATATCACAAACGCGACGGTGCGAATAAGATCGTGATATCATTGAGTGAGATGTTACGCGAATTTATGTGTCATATAATCTTATATAATATACACTATATATACATATATATAATATAAAAAATATAAAATATATATGCAACGTGTGTGTGTGTGTGTGTGTATACATGGTGCGCGGAAAGAGGCTGTGGGAAAGATAGCGCCTGCTATGCGAGATCTCCCGTTGCTATTTCGCTGTCGTGTTTACGAGAATGGCCCCTCGGCTCCAGACCCCGCGGCCAACCTTCGTCCTCCTTTATCACCGGCTATGCGAGATTAGCCGTCGAGTTGACGGACATGAGTCGCAGACTCATTGATTCCGCTCCAAGTTCGATTTTTTGCGCTCGATCGATCGGAGTGAGCTTTATGTGCATTTCTCCATTTTTCGTACCCTTAATCCATTTTCGCACATACTACATTTTCAAAAAGAGTAGAGTAGATTTATTTAGTTGAAAATTTCTTATATTGAAAAATTATTAAATTATATGTATGTCTTGACATGTCGATTAAAAAATAATAATTTGCCTAAAAGTCGTCATAAGTGCGAGCAGATTATATGTACATAATTTTAAGAACTATTGTTAAATGATATAACTTGAATGACAATGAATAAATGATTGTTAGATTTTTATCGTTTGAAAGGAGCAATTATTCATCTAAATTCTCTTGTCTATATTAAATTATTATTTGAACCAACTTGTTGTCTTCAATCCGGATTAGCTTGAAATATGCAATCGTTATCGAGAAACTATACATCAAACTTTATTTTTATTCATCTATAATTTAACTTTGTATTAATTATTCGATTTTTCGTCAGTTAGGTCCTTCAAAAATGAAATCGAATAAAGCAGACTGACTGTAGTTTAGAGATTCATTTTTTATACTAACAAAAAATTGTTTTCTTGTTTTCAGAATGGAGACTTTTCAAGAAGCCGGCGTTCAAATGCTAAAGGAATTCAGAGCCCTGTTGCAGCACTCGCCGTTACCACTTCCTGGCACTCGTCTACTTCAACTTTTGGCGCTTAACATGTTTGCTATCGAGACTACGCAGCTGAAGGGTGAGTCGTAATTTACTTTTCTTTTCACTTTTTCTTTTAATGTCAAAGAAATCTCGTTTAAACATTATGCGAATCGACAAATATGTGAGATACTTTGTCTATCATCAAGAACTTATTAAAATGATAGATTATGAATAGGTTTCAGAAACTGAAAAAAGTCTATGAACCTTAACGAATCAAGTTCTTACAAAAATATATGTAACAATTTTTTGAAAAGAAATATTTAAAACTATCTTTATGAATTTGGGACAAAAATCTGATAAAAGTTACGTAAAATTACATTAATTGTTTTTATAGATAATATACCTATATTTTCTTACATATATTGCATATGTATGTGAGATTACATTTGTATCTTATTTTCACTGAGATAATTTATGACGTGCAATCAGTTTGCGTGCACTTGTGAAATGATATAGATTTGCGTGTATTTTTTGCCATTCTCTTGATTGTTAAATAATTTTCGCATTTGCGACTTTGATTACGGAGAAGAACACCACTCGGAATAAAATCAACCGTCTAACGAGCCGGTTGTACTCGTTTTAGCGTTAACTTTTTTCGCGAATTTTTTGTTTTAAAGTGGAATACACGCTAGAAAACGAGATACCTAAACCGGTCACCATTTGAAATTTGCATCTTGCATGCCTAGATTATGCATATGAATGCATGTATAAATTCTACTGATTTTGACAAGGTTGCAACGGATTTCTAGCGCAGCTTAAATACCTAGAAAATTTCCTTTTCACACAAAATGATTTACATTGATTTACGTTGCGGAGATTTTGCTTTTAAATTGAGCGCAAACATCTCCCAGTCAATTTTCAAGATAAAATTGCGTTTACTTTAGATTAGACCTGACGTAAAATGAGATTTATTAGATAATAAGCCTAATATGATTAAGAACGAGAAACTGTTTTGGGGTTAATCTCTGTCACGGTCGAGATGCATTCTATTGGGATGACTCGTCTTCCGCTTTAACTTGTCATCGACAAGCAACTGTGGTATGACGGTATATCCGGTTTAGGTAGATGTTACTTGACTCTCGGCTTCGACAATGACTCATGGACTGCATGCTCGTTCGAGAGAGCACACGAGCACCATAACTGCAACGAGCGTTCCCCGAGTTTTTGCATCTGCATGCAGGTGCTAGCCCTATATAATTATCACTAATTTCTATACGAGAGCGAAACCCCGTTCGCTCCAGGTTTCGCTCTTCTCAGAATGAACCCTAGTCTGAGTCATCAAGACTCTTCTTCTTTTGCTGCTCTATTTCCAAGGTGAAACTGCCCGTTCGAATCTTCCTTTGCACCTGCTCGGGCGTTTCTTTGCCCTTTTACTTTAACTGCGCAAAGTTGTCTTTTTTAGGTGATCGGTATATCTTATTTCGCAGTGGAAGTTAATAATGTCATCTTTGGGAGAAATTTGCATATGCTGATTTTTCGATCGCGTTTATAAATTATAAAAGAAAATATGTATACATTTTCGCGTATTAATATGCATGAATTTATATTTATTAATTATTATTTTTGAATTAATATTAAATTGAGCAATCATCATTATATATTTAAATTTTTTTTATAATATCTTATGAGATAGATATCTATCAGATCTAATATTTTCGATAAATCGTTGCACAGAATATCAAATAATTTCGGTTATAATAAAGAAAAAATTAAAGCGCGATCGCGTAAAAAATCTATTCAATAGAGAAATGGCGATGATCTTACTGTGCCAAAGAAGAGTTGGTTTCAAACGAGCGCGAGCGATGTGTGTTACGGGATTTTAGTACCTGAATCTTTAAGCAGGCGTTACCATCACGTGCGGGTTATACCTGGCGCGACTTCTCGTAATATTGCACGTGCGTTAATCTGCAGTGGCTTCGTCTGAGCGCGTATAGGTTTTCGCGGTTGAATTCTTCAGGATGTACGATAACGGTCGTGCGAGCCAAGTTTTTCCGCGGACAGAGATTGCGATTCACCTCGTATATCAATTATATATTTTTTTCGATTAAAAGAGAAAACGATTTTCGCGAAATTTTCAAGTTTTCCTTTTAGCCTCAAATATGCGTATTTTAACACACAACGAAATTTTGTATTATTTAATATATTATTAAAAAAAATGTTTGCATCGGAAACTTTCGGTATCTCCGAGATCTGATCGATCAAGTCCGTTTGTTTCTCCGCGATGTCTCGTGTAAAATCTGTCTATTAAAAATTTTTTCGAGGATATATATAATCTTGTCCTCGGTGTAGTGATGATTCTCCATCAGCCAGCCAGTAATTGAAATCGTAAACACTGTCGGTAATGGACCATTGAGTTTATGCAACCGTGTCGACATTGTCTGCGGTTGTCGGCCGAGGAACGTCAGGTCCCGCCTTCATCATCCTTAAACCGCCGCGACACATCCCTGTGGTTTGCTCCCCCGATTCGGCTTTCTCTTTGCGTTGGATCAACGCTATGGATCTCGAAGCGAGCGTACGGTATACTGTCTGTGACGTCTTATTTTAATATACGAGAAGCGCGACCAAAGTGTAACGCAATACAAAAATTGATTATTACAAGAAAGCGAGGAAGAATTACTTGAAAAATTCTCCCAATCGATTTATCTTAACATCTCTTGTGGTGGGACTATTTTATCAACTCGTTATAGATTGCACGGTAATTTTCAGATGAATATAATTGTGTTAGACGAGAGCAAACGAGAATGATTTGGGGGGTCTATTTTGTCACGAAAAGAGGGTAAATGAACTTTCCGCGAGTACACTGAAAAAAAAATTATTTAATTAATCAAATAAATATTTATTTCGATACTCTTTTATACATCATTTATTTGAAACAAATACTCTCATAATCCTCGTTTTTGATATTTCTTTTAATTGCATCTCTCTCATCCTTGTTGTCGAATTTATTTTTCGTATGAATACACTGAAAAGAATTTGCTAACTTGACCAACCCTTTCAACTAAATATTATTTTGTTAATTAAATATGTAGAAATATTTAAATTAAATATTGAATTTAACAAAACTTATATTTGACTTAAATACTATATAATATATGTTAAATTGACAAAATAATAATTTTTTCAGTGTACATTTCTTTGATATAATTAACGCACGTTTTTTTTCATAAAATTATTCTACAATTAAAAGCACGAGATTAAATTTCGGAATTATGAAAAAAATTAAAAATTTCGAATTTGAATTTTTGGAGAATCTTTTCGAGTTGAAGCGAATTTTGAAATTCGTTTTCCACATCCGCGCCGTTCGAATTTTTCCCTACGAATTATCCAATCGATTCCCAAGATGCGTATCAAGGAAGCTGGTGGCGGGAAATGCCGCTGGATCATTTCACGCGTGCATTTCACGGCTATACGCGTGTGCGAGGAACGAATACAGAATCCGGGGAACCCCGGAGGCTACCGAAGAATCGCATAACGTCAAGGCTGAGAGAGAGATGTCCCTAATGTCTATAATCTTGGATCATCTGCATCCGAGCTACGATCTGGCTTGTGGCTTTGCGTACCTTAAATCTAACCACGTTCTACTACCTGCCGTATATATAAAACCTATCAAGTACGAGTACTCGTCTTTCCCTTTTTCCTTCATTGACGCATTATTAAATTGTTTCATTGTTTTATCTTCTATTTTTTTTTTTTTATCTTTTTCGATCTCTCACGCTTGATCGCGCTTCCGTTTCTCGTTGTAGACTCGATATCTCGGTATAATCGAAATTTTCAGCATTCACAGATGATACATTTATCGAGGAAGTTAAAATAAAAGGAATATTTTCTATTTTTATTAGGATAGAAAATTTGAAAGATCGCTCGGTTTAGATCATTTGCAATCTATACAAGTGGAATAATAAATGCGTATAAAAGTCAAGTCTTACAAATAGAATTAATTGGCGTCGAAGAAAGATATTTTAGCGCTTGTTATCTGAGTTTGCCCCTTTAAATAGAGTCTTTGAAATCTAAATACGGTTATTCTCGAGGGAAAATCTTGTATTGTAAAGTGCACGAAGAACGAGAATAGACTCATGCGTGGACTTGTTATTCCCGATAAAGAAAGTGTCGCGATATAATACGATACTGAGTGTCCGAATACGAAGTTATTTTGCTCGATCGAAGAGGAAGAAAAAAGGGAGCCTCGCTTCTCGGAAAGCCGAGCCGAGCGAGAGGGGCTCGTTGGCATAAATTATCGAAAAGTACAGCCCTCGAAAATCCAGCTCCTCTCACGTATGTGTGTATGCGCGCGTACTCGCCTCCTTCGAAATTGCCTCCCTAAAATATGAGAATTATTGCCCCTGGTCTCGTCCCGTCTCGCTCGCGCCTCTTGTGTTTCTTATTTCTCAAAAGCTTCCTTTCTTTCTGCGGCGGAATTCACGCACCCATCGGCAGCATACGAGAGTGAGAAGGAAAAAGAGAAAGAATCTCGCTGCTGTTGCTGCCTCATCGCGCACAAACGCGAGCGCGCCGTTTGGTTTTTTAATCTTTTACCTCACCCGAAGAGAAATCATCTCCGCGTGGCAATTCGTAAATCAGCTGGCAAAAACCGAGTCTTTCAATACCTTCCTCTGAGCCCTTCTCACGCGCGCGATTCTTTCACGTGGCCAGTCGCGCGGTTTATTGACCTTTGAACCTTCTAACCGCCCAGACGTGGTGTCCGAATATCGTCCTGTCATTACGCCTGGATGTGGGTCCTCGTTTGACGCGACGCGACGCGATGCGACGTCCTGCGATCCAAATTAATCCAGTCTCCAGACTCGCTGAATAGCGGCATTATATTATTCAGATTTGAATGTGGCATTCGCGTGTCAAATATTCTCTGTCATGTTAGTACGAGGGAGACAAGCAATGCTTTTTGTTTCTTTTTTCTTCAATAGGTTTATTATAAATCAATAATAATAAAATTATATCATGCATATTAAGATGTACCTACAAATTATTAAATATTTTCACAGTTTTTCTTATACATATATATCTTTTTCATATTTAAATTCT